CTTCAGTTATACATATCTGAAAATGAACTTTTTGAAAAGCACTAAATTAAGTCACTGCCTTCTAGCAACAAATTCTGCTTTTGTGTGTCTTGTAAAATATTTCATAGTTTTGATTTTAGTGATAAGCTTAAAAGACAGATTCAATTAAGGTATTTAGAGTATGCCAAATAAATAAATTGTAAACACTCTAGTGCTTGTGAGTCTTTCTACTGGAGACTCAGTGGCAGATTTGTGAAAGGAAATAGATTTTTCTTTGAATTAATGTAAGAAAAATATACTGTCCACTGCTCTGAGTGAAATTCCGTTTAGAAGGATGATTGAATATAGATAATGAGATTGATGGCAAATGCAAGAGAAATGTCCTTATCCAGTTTAGCTTATAATATTAGTCACCTCTTCCTCTACTCAAATACCCCTGTTAAGTCTGAATCCTAGTTATTTCCAGGATTAATAAAAGCATTTGGATTAAATAGCTAGATAGCATTTATAAGGTGGTTTTAATTGAACCACCCTAAAATTTTATTCATTTTGTTTGCATAATTCCAAATTGCTTTCTGAAATATTTGTGCCAATTCATATCTTCACCAACAATGTATTGTACCCATCATCCTACAATGCCTGCAACATAGATGATTGCCATTTTTTGTCGTCATTGCTAGTTTTCAGGGTGTGAGGTAAAACCTCAGGTTTTGTGTTTGTATTTCTCTTATTAAGGATTTAGAGTGTTCTTTCATGTGGTTGTGCTAAATGTTAATAATGCTTAATACATTAAAATTACAAGAAACTGGGGGAAATATCAAATATGTTTTATAGTGGATTCCCCAAAATAAGAAAAAATACCACTTATTTCTGATGCCAACATATCAGAATTGACAGAACACTGGATTCAGAAATTCTGCATTCTGGTCCCAACCTTAATGTATACTAATATGTGGCTTTGGGCATGACATTTTTTCTTTCAAATCCTTAGTTTCTTTATCTGTAAAATGAAGATGGTAATATGTACTCTACCCCTCCAAGGCTGTTGTGAATATCAAATGAGATAATGTAACTGTATTGTAACAGTAAAGCACTCCATTAAGGTAGACTTGTGTTATGATGCAGGGACCTATTTTCTGTCCTCAAAGAACTTACAAGTTTTCTAGGGGGAGAGGTCTTACAAATATGAAATAATTAAGAATCAATACAAAATAGAATATAATTAAGTGTGCATAGGTATTTCACAGATGATGAATTTTATGGGCAGCAGAGATTGGGGAGTAAGAATGTTATCAGAATATGGGAGCAGATCTAGACTTCCTGGAGGACATGGTATTTGAAATGGTTCTTGACAGACAGATCCAAATTTGAAATGTCAAAAAGAGAAAAGGCTTATCAAAAGTTGTTTAAGGCACTTCAGACTATAAAGTCATAGAAGGAAATTAACAAGAACTAACTTGCCAGGTCATAGTCACAATTTTGGTTCAAAGGATAAGCATTAAAATTTAATGAAACTTACTTGATGTTCATCTGTGTAGATCATTCATTTTCTTTAATGTTCCAGCCAAAGTCTGTACAGGAATGTTAACATTAGGTTATTCAAAACACTTTTAAAAGATGTAGTCACCTGGAAAATTCTGGAAAAAAATTGATGAAACTAATTGTTTTTCTCTCTTATGAAATCTGCTTTTCTTTGAATTAGTTCAACTAGATAGTTATCAGGGAATTTAAAGGGAATGTTTTAAGTACCCAGTCAGTGATGCTAAAAAACAAGTGGTAGACTTGTTCTTGGTCACTTCATCATCCAATGCTATTTCCATTGTCTGTAAAGCACAAATCCTGAGCAATTTCCATGAACTGTGGTATTAAAAGAACTCTGTATTGCCATTATTAATATCTTTTAAGGACAATGTTGATACTTTAGCTTTTTGAGAATGGTGTATGTGTATGTGTGTGTTTATGTGTACCATTTATTCAACAAAAATTTCTTAAGTTGGACACACCTGAAACAACTCAACATCTATCAGAGAATACTACGTGTAAGAGTTGCTTAAATAACTAAATAATTGAACAAAAAATCCTCCACAGTTCTCCTCCTACCAATGTTCTGACCTCTAAAATAGTACTTTCTCAACACCCACTTCTAGTTTGCAGTTTCTAACCTTTTGTCAGTAAAATAACCAAGCTTGTTCAAATGTGTATAATGATAACCAGTAAAATTCTGAATGTGGTTAAATAAGCAAAATAAAACTGCATGGATTTTGTGACTACTGTTGAAATTAATGAGAATTTATTTTCTCATTTTGAATTTTACTTCTGCATTTTGGACTCTGTTATTAAAGAGTTGAAATTGCTGACAGTCCAGCCTCTGGAGAAGTGTCATATGTTAACTGTATTTTATTGTTGCTCTTCATAAAGCTTTAGAAAATCTGGAAATCAAAATTACATTAATGATACACTATCTCTTTGTTGTTATGTATGTATATATACAAGTATATGTTTGACGTATTTACATATATAATATATTACCAGATAAAAGTGTGTGTGTGTGTGTGTGTGTGTGTGTGTGTGTGTGTGTACACATTATGTAAGTGGTAAGATTTGGAAGTGGGGCAATCTTCATTTTTAAGATATTAGGTAAATCAATTTCCCTTCATAGATGGTTTTCAATAACCTTCATATACTGCCTTCCCACCCTTCCAGTCATCCTGTACCTTACTCTTCTTCTCCTCCTCCCACATAATCTGCAGCCCAGTGCCCCTGGTTTCCTTGCTATTCCTCATAAAAGACATTGCATTTCTGGACTCCAGGCATTTCACGTGATTGTTCCCCATATCTGGAATTTTCTCCATCCTCATCTGTGCTTTCTAACTTCCCTGGCTTCTTTAAAGTACCAGCTAAAATTTCATCCTTTCTTAGTGCTGATACCTTCCCTCTCTCCATGGTTTTCTGTTTATCCTGTATATACCTGGTTTTACATAGCATGTTTTCTCCCTTATTAGAATATGAAGGCCTTGACAGTAGGGGCCTATGTTTGTTGTTGTTCTTGTTTCATTTTACCTTTCTTTGTATCCCCAGAACCTAGTACAAGGTTGGGCACATAGAAGATGCTCAATGAATATTGACTAAATGACTGACCTACCCATCAATGCCCCCCCACTAACTGCTTCAGACTTGATATCCAACCATTTATCAAATCAGCCAGATAGTGCAATGGATACAGCACTGGGCCTCGAATCAAGAAGACTTTAGTTCAAATCTTATCTCAAACTCTTATTAACTGTGTAACTTTGGACAAGTCACTTAACATTTGGTTGCCTAAGTTTTCTCAATTGTAAAATGGGGATATTAATACACTTATGTCTTGGGGTTGTTATGAGATCAAATGTGATAATATTTATAAAGTGCTTAGCACAGTGGCTGCCAAATAGGGACTATATAAATGCTAGCTTTTAGCATCACTTATTATCATTACTGTCATCTTCATCATCATCATTATTAGACTTGTCCAAGGGCACCAGAAGTAAATGACAGAATGCAAACTCAAACTCAGGTCCTCTGATTCCAAAGCCTGGACTTTCCCCACCACTGGATGCTGCCTAGTAGGACACTAAGAAGCCAAAACGTAGCTAGACAATGCCAACCACAGTGCTTAGTGGACTCCACACTTACCAATTGAAAGGGTAGGCAGTGTTTACTTTAGAGATAGTTTCAGAGGAAATAAATGAAGATGAAAATTGTATGTCTTGTCTCACTGCGATTGAACCTGTTCATCTTTCTTGAGATTTCTAGTCTCTTAGCCACTAGCTGTAGTATCTGCCTTTGATCTCTTTTCTGGTTTCACTTGCAACCTCATTCAGCCTGTTGAATGTTGCTAGAGAATGTTATAAAACCATATAACTTGAACCACTAAATTTCTACTGTGTAACCTTGGTTGGATTATCAATTTTGCTTATATGTGCTTCTATTTATCTTAAATATTAAGTCACTGTAATAGTATTTATAGTAGTTCTTCCTCTTTTCTTCTCCTCCAGCATACATCTCACCTCCATTCTGTTACTGGCAGCAACCCCCTCCTTTTACTTGGTATAGCACCATGGATAGAAAGCAAGTCTTGGAGAAGGGAAGACCTTGGTTGAAGTCTCACCTCTGACATGTACTGTCTATTTGACCCTATGCAAGTCACTTAAACCTCTCAGTGCCCAAAGCACTGAGTCAGTCAAAATCGTTCTTTGGCTTCTCTATTACTTACAGTATAAAATACAATCTCCTTAATTTGTCATATAAGGCTATTCACAATTTGTCTCCAACTTACCTTTCTAACTTTGTTTTTTTTTCTACTCCCCTTCATACATAATATATTTCAGCTAGCCAGTACTTCTATCTTTTCCTTCATTTCATTATCCATTCATAAACACACATATATTCCAGAAATGCATTTTTTTTCAAAATCCCCATCTTTTTAAAAATACCTTGTTTTCTTCAGGTCCTAGCTTAGGAGCCACCTCCTCTAAGAAGTCTTTCCCACCTCAGAGTGAGCTTTCTCTCCTCAAATTTCCTTTACCTTTTATCACATTCTAACTTACATTTCTTTTTCTTCTGTGTGTACACACTAGTTTCTTCCCTATTATATTACCTCATACTTTGTCTAGACATTTGCTTTGTCCTTATCATATTCTAGTTTTTAGCATACATTATTTGTGTACATACTTTTCTATATTATATTATAAACTCCTTGATAGCAGGAATAATTTTCATCTATCAGTTCTTTTTTTTTAATTCCCAGCACTTATTATAGGACTTTGCATATAGTAAATGCTGAATCAATTTTTGTTTGTTTGATTTAATTGACTAATAATAATTCTTTATACTTTATATTCTTTGAACTTTATATCCTTTACACTTTGCAGTTTGCAAGGCATTCTCTTTTCCATGTTTTATTGGTTGTCCCAACTGGTGGTGTTATCTCTACTTTACAGATAGGAAATTGAACCCCCAAGAGGCTATATAACTTTCCTGAGGTAACAGTCAATTAGTATTCAGTTCTAGGTAGATTACTTTTTTTCAGTTTTATTTGTGCAATTTTAATAATTCAAACATTTTCAGATTATCTCCACTATTTTGAAACTTCTCATAACAAAGCAAAAAAAGAGAGTAAAACTAACAATCCAGTGACATCATCCAAAAATGCATGCAACATTCTGCTTCTGTAACACGTCCCAACTTCTCATTGTAAAGTATTTTAATGAACAGAAATAGATTTTTTCCTTTTCTACCTAAATGGAAAAAATTAGGAAAGAAAAAACAAATTCATTATTTTAATAAGCATAATCAAGTAAAACTGATAAGTTTATTGACTGTGTACAAAAATGTATGTAAATTGTCCAAAAATATTATTTAGTTTTAAGCTTTAATAGCTAGAGAGATATTAAATAAGATATACTGTCATACTGTATGTCTCATTCTACACCCCAAATATGTTACCTCTCTGTAAAAGAGGAGCTTGTCTTTTTCTAGGTCTTCTGGAATAGTGGATTGTCATTACATTAATCATATTTCCTATAGCTTTCATAACTGATTGTCTTTACAGGTTGTTATTATGTAATTTTTCTCCTGGTTCTGCTCTCTTCATTCTTCATTAGTTTATAATATTATTCAAATTTGTTCATTTTCATAATTTATAGGATAAATTGTTCATGTGGTTCTGGTCATTTTACATCATTTCATATATCTTATCTCTTTAAAAGCCTGTTTCTTCTTTTCTTACAGCATAGTATTTTTCAATCATATTCATATATGACAACTTATCCAACCATTACTCAATTGATGGGGATCCCTTGGATTCCAGGTTCTTTCTAGTATACCACACTGACTTTCAATCATATGACTGAACAATATTTTTAGCATGTCACAACACTGGTTTATTGCTTCAATACTTTTTCTTTTATTTTGTTTGTTCATTTGTTTTAAGGCAATATGACAAAGTTCAATGGAGGGAACAGTATACTGAGAATCAAGCGGTGGGAGCTTTATCCTCAACCCATCATCAGACCTGATTTGTAACCTAGGACAAGTGCCTATCTCAGTTTCCCTTCTATCTAACTAGGAACGGTAGTCGATTTCTGCTTACCTCTTACTGTCTGTGGATGATATGAAGATTAATTAATAATGAGATGAAAGAGCTTTGAGCTTTTGCTGACAATAAGAAACAAAAGTTCAAAGCTCCAGCCTCTAATATAGGTAATTCCTCCGGTGAGTTCAATTTCTTCATGTTGAATCATATTTGTTATTCTTCCTCCCCGTCCTGCAATCCCCATAAGAATGACTATTAAAATGTTCTCTCATTTCAGATGACTGTTTCATAATTTCTTTGCCAACCGAGCCCTCTGAAGTTCGTTGCTCTCTCTGACCTTTTTTGGTATCACCAATTGTTTAAAAGTCTCCGTTTAATTTTAAAGAGCTTTTGTGCTCCTTTTCCTTGATGCTTATTATAGGTTTTGAATCATGTGCTATAAAAAGTAGTTAGCTGTATGTGCTTTTATAATGAAAGTAATTTAATTGGGCACTCTGTCTCCATGGATAAGCAAGGGTCAGAATGATTTCTTTTTTAAAGATTATATGAGAGAAGTATTGTGAAAGGAGAAAGCATAGCATTTTGCTCTCAGCAGTGAATTATGTATGTTTCATTAACACCAATAGAGCGCCTAAAATCCCTTGAAATGACAAACTTTGATCAACATTTTCAGCATGCATTCTAGACCACCTGATTCTTGACAACTCCTCTTATACCACATATATTGTTCTTGTAGGATAAGATCCACAGTGGCCCAAGGACATGTTAATCATGCTGAGTAAACTATATCTCTTCACTGTATAAACTGGATTCTTCATTATCCCTTGCCAGTGGTCTGTGTTTTGCCACCTCAGTCCATTTGATGACATTTGGACTTTACCCTCCCTATTTATGGTTATAGTCCTTGAGGAGGCCATTTACAATCCAGGCCTCCACATCCTTTTCTTCTACTCTTTTCTCTACAGTCTGGCTTCCAATTTCATCATTTAACCACCACTGCTTTCTCAAAAGTCACTAATTGTCATATCTGATTGCCTTTTCTCAATCCTCATCCATTTGACCTCTTTGAAGTCTTTAACAAGATTGCCAATCACCCTAGTCTTCTTGATACTATCTTTTCACTAAATTTCTGCTACACCATTCTATCTTGATCCTTTTCTTACTAGTCTGAACCCTCCTCAGTCCCCTTTGTTGGATCTTTGTTCAGATCATGTATGCTAACCATACATGTCACCCATGGCTCCCGCCTCTCCTCTTCTCCGTCTATCCTAATTCAGTTAGTGATCTCATCAGCTCCCATATATTTAATGATCATCTCTATGTTGATCATTCTTCAATTTTCCTATCCATTCTTAGCCCCTATACTGGGCCTTCAGTCTCACATTTCCAAATGCTTATTGGTTATCTTGAACTGGCTGACCCATAAACATTTTAAATTCAACATGTCCAAAACTAAAATATTATATTTCCCAAAAATTCTTCTGTCTTAACTTTCCTATTACTATTGTTAGTACCAAAATTCTAAGAGTCATCCATGTCCAACCGAGCTGTCATCCTTAGCTCCTCACTCTCTCTCTCATGCCCCATAGCCAACCTATTGCCAAGTCTTATTGATTTTACTTTTGTAACAGTATTCATATATGCTCTCTTCTCTCCTTTGACTGCCTGCCCACCCTGGCACAGGCCTTAATCATCTCATATTGGATTTTTGTAATAGTCTACGAGCTGGTCTCCCTGGGCCAAGTCTCTCCCCGCTCCCATCCATCCTCCACTCAGCTGTCAAATTAATCTTCCTAAAGTACAGATCTGACCATCCCGATTCAATAAACTCCAGTAGTTCCCTGTTACTTCCAGGATCAAATATAAAATCCTGTTTGATTTTCAAAGCCTTTCATACCCTGCCTTCCCACCTTTCTAGTCTTTTTGCATCTTACTCCCATTCTTCCACCTCCCCCCCATACACACGCTTAGCAATCTAGTGATACTGACCCACTTATTGTTCCTTGCACAAGACACTACATTTCTGAATTCCAGACATTTTCACACACTGTCCCCCATACCAGGAATTTTCTCCATCCTCATATCTATCTTCTAACTTCCTTGGCTACTTTCAAGGACTAGCTAAAATCCCACCTTTATAACAGAACCCTTTCTTGATTCCCTTTAATGTAAGTGCCTTCTCTCTGTTCATTTTCTCTAGTTTATACACACACATATGTGTATCTGTGTGTATGTGTTTGTGTGTGTGTATATGTGTGTGTATACATACATATGTATGTGCATACATATATGTGTGTATACATATATGTGTGTGTATATATGTACATATATATGTGTATACATGTGTGTTGTATATATATATATGTATATATATGTATGTATGTATGTATGTATATGTATCTTATTCTTACATGGTTGGTTGCATGATGTCTCTTCCACTAGTCTGAGCTCCTTAATAGAAATGACCAGGAGGCATCTAGGTGGTACAATGGATAGAGCACCAGCCCTGGAGTCAGGAGGAGCTGAGTTCAAATCTGGTCTCAGACTAGACACTTGACAACTTACTAGCTGTGTGACTCTGGGCAAGTCACTTAATTGCCTTGCCAAAAAAAAAAAAGAAAGAAAGGACTGTTTTTTTCACTTTCTTTTTCTTTCTTTCTTTTTTTTTTGGTTTGTTTTTGCTTTCTTTGTATTCCCAGTGCTTAGCACAATGCCTGACACATAGTAAGTACTTAATCAATATTTGTTGACTGAATGACCAATCTACTCATGTGTTTCCCCCATGCAACTAATTTTATCTGTTGATACACAACCATCTTTCAAAACCGCTAGGTGGCATGGTGGATGTAGCACTGGGTCTGGAGTCGAGGAGACCTTAGTTCAAATCTGGTCTCAAACATTTACTAACTATGTGACCTTGAGCAAGTCACTTAATTGTTTGCCTCCTTGTTTCCTTTTCTGTAAATGATAATAACAATGCACCTTCCTCCCAGAGTTGTGAGGATTAATTAATATATCATCATTATCATTATTATCTTTATTACATTATTATTATATTAACTGTTGTCTCACCAAAGAAATCCTCTCTAATTCCCAAACTAAACTGATTTATCCTGCATTTGATTAAATTTACATTCTGTTTATCAACTTATATTCTCCATTCCTCCTGCTATGTTGTAGAGAGGAACTGTATATTATTTGTCTTTGAATCTTCCCCACGGCCTTCTGGGCAACACATGGTCATTGCTTAATATTACATTAAAAAAATTCTTCCCTGTGCCTTAATGGGTTATGTAAGTAGATATGATTTTTATAATTTATTTTCTTTGCATCATAATGACAGCATGAGTTTTGGATATGCCACCCATTGTTGATATCTGCTGCAAAACCTCTGCCATCTTCTTCCTTTCTTTGCGCAGACAGATGTTGTCATCCCATTAAAATCAGTGTTCTTTAACTTTGCTTTTCTATATTACATTGAGTTAGAATTAGGTTGGATGTTATGAAATCAGATAATGATTCAGAATACAATTCTGTCTGAGTGCAGTCTAACATATCAATTAGGACATGTCTCCTGTGTGGCTGAATGGCTTTAGTGGGAGATAATATAGCCATAAGGGTTAGGGAAAAAAAGAACTGGGCCTGAGCACACCCCAGCACTGTTCTTAGACTTCTCTGACTCATAGTGTGGCACTGAGCAAGGCATTTGGTGGCACAATGCCTATCTTTTATAAGGGCATAAGAATTGATCACACGCAATTACCTAGCAAAATAATTGAGATAATTCCAAACTAAGATCTACATGCTCTAGTACAAGTCTATATCATGCTGCTTAGATTATAAGACAGTGTCGCTCGCCAAGTTACTGTGAATGATGCTAAAACCCATAACTCTTGGTCCCTTCCTTCCGAGCCCATGTTAGTGGTTCTAAACAAATTTCTTGAAGTTCTTCTTCTTCTTTGTGATACCTGCTATCAAAAACTACCTCTAAGTTTGAGTCCCTTCAGCTTTTCATTTCTAAAAACTAGTCCTTTCTGTCTAGCATTCCTGTTTCTTAGCAGCAGTTAGAGGGTTAACATCTCAAAAGTTATACAAAGTGTTCTAGCATTTCTTCTTCATACCTGTGATGGTTCTGCATTAGCTCACCAAACAGCTCACTGTTGAGATATGTTCTTGCAGCCAAAATGTGGTACTAATGTGTGTGGGGGCAACATTATATACTTTGAAAGGCTATTTGAACTTATTTTAGATTATAGCAAGCACTTTTCCATTTTCGAGGCAATACACTTTACCTTATTCTTGACAAATATGGTTGCCTTGTACAACAGCAGCAGCAGCAGTAAAAACAAGCATATCAGGTACATTTTGTTTTCATACTTCTAGAGGAAAGCCTCTTCTTCCCCTGACTCATGAAAGTTTCTCCTTGTTCTTTTCAGCACAGATGCAGGCTGACTTCAAATCTAAGATTCTTGATCTTCTAACTTTTTGAAACTCTCAAGGTTCAAACCTCTTTAATCTCACTTAAAATGAAAGAACAAGCACCAAAGTAGGCAAAGGAAAGATGTGTATTGTTACAGGCCCACAAGTAGCTTCACTGGGTAGAAAGTCCAAGTCATCTACCCTTACGCATTTTCTCTCATTGACTCTGAACACTGGCATATTTTTAAGACAACCCCTTGTAACATCCTCGTTACTTGAGGAGGGCTGCCTGGGTCATACTTACCTGCTGTCTTCGGGTCCCTGATTAACGAAGGAGTGGAGTCCACAGAGAGGTGTAGTTTCAAAGTTTATTCAGCCATTAGCTCAAGCGAGTAAGCAACAACCGCTGGTCCTGCCTTCAGTGTTTTATATCTTTTACTCATGGGAACATACCCCAATGTAACAGTGAACAAAGCAACAGGGTTTACATACCTTTACCAATAGGCAACACTGAGAATTTTTCTCATGCGAATACCAATCAAAGTATCAACGAGTACATTTCTTTGCAACATTATCCTGACTGTGTCCTTCTCTCTTGCTGTTCCCGTAAAACACTATGTACGTCTCGTTCCTGGAATGTTCCCAATACTTGATACATTAGTTAGCAATACTAGATATATCTTTGTGCTAGAGCTGACTGTGCTTGAGCTAGCAACATTGTTTTATAGTTTGAGCTCGCCTAGCATCAGAGTTTTGCTGACTGAGAGATGCAAGGTCCGTGGACGGAGAACCAAGCCAGGATATTCTGCACATGTACTAATCCCCGAGCGGGGCCTTCGCCCATCAGTGAAGTCTCATGAACAGCCTGTGGACCTCAGCGTCCTACAGATCCCTAACACTCCCTATTCTGGCTATCCAGTCAATCAAAAAGGCTTTTCCTAACTGTAGTTAGTAGACTAACCGTGTTGTTACGGAAAACCTATGTATATTAGTCTCTCCAAGGCTATTACATTATATATCATATTCAAGAGGCAGAATCCCCAGCCTCTCCATGTAGAAGATGACCTCAGAGGCAATCTATACATATGCCAATTCTCATGATACAACTAATTACTGAAGTCCTACTCTATACAAAGTACTGTTCTCAGTGCTAGAGATAAGAAGACAAAAGTGAAATAGCAACATACCTCCTCCCTCCTCAAGGAGTTCATATTATCTAAGTAAAAGCTCATCATTTTTGTGCTGATTGCTTATAAACAAGAGATTCAGTCAGTCATAGAATATCAGCGTAGAAAAGATTCACAGTAGCCATTTAATCCAACCCACTCCTGAAAAAAAATCCTCTATAATAGGGCTGGAGCATACTAACCCACATCTGAAAATCTAATCTGTGATCTATACCTGACAAATCTAAAACCAACTTTTAAAAATTTCTTGAAATAGAGCTTTGAAAAAAAAAACAGGCTTGGATAAAGCCCACTGGAATTCAGATAGAGATACTTAATCATGCCTTAAACCCAAATCACTCTGGCTCTCACTGCCTGGCTAATAATTAATCCCAGCCCAAGCCTCGGTTGGTCATTGTTGGAGTTTTGCTAACTCAGAGTGAGTGTAAATAGCAATTGTTTCTATTCAGGTCAGAAACGAGGGAATTCCCCTCCCAGATTGTTTTGTTTTGTTTTTGAGTAGGTAAAAGAGACCATCTTTTGCTTCATTTCTTATGTAACTTCAATCACTGAATGAATGTTGCCTCAGACAAACTGAAACTGGGAAAGATCTTAGCTTAAAAAGGCCACGGTCTCCCACTGAATCCAGGGCCATTTCCACTCCACTGGACCCAGATGGTTCTGAAGGAGAGAGTGAAGCTGATGACTTGGCAAAGCCCTGCCTCACTTAAATCCCATTCATTTGCAAGTCAAGACATCACCTTCCTGAAGTCATTGGTCTTCTTCAAGAATGATGGACAAACAACAATAACAACACCAGAGACTTTACTTAAAGACTTCTCAAGAGGTCTCTCATGAATGTGGTCCCAAGGTAGCACATTCTGCTTTTAGATAGCTATAACTGTTAGGAAGTTGTTGATTTTTCCTTACATTCAACTCTTAATGTAAGGAATTTTGAAAGTGTCTGTGTGTGTGTGTGTGTGTGTGTGTGTGTGTGTGTGTGTGTGTGTGTGAGAAAGAGAGAGAGAGAGAGAGAGAGAGAGAGAGAGAGAGAGAGAGAGAGAGAGAGAGAAGGCTACACAGATATATGGAAACCAAAATATTATGTTTGGAAATTTTGCATATTTTCTAATACAAATGTCCTTTTTTTTTTAACATGCTGGCAGGTAACACTTAGATAATTTATAACATTTTACTTTTTGATGTAGATTGAAATAGGATTTTAGAAGTCTTTTTTTAACCTATAAATAAGCCATTATAATTGCTCAAAAAATTTAGAATATTTTTCATGCATTGAAATCAATTAGTTGACTAGAAAACGATAGCACAAAGCCAAGAATATGATAATATAATTAGCCATATGTGCAGTGGCTTAAATTTTTAAAACAAAAGAGGAAATGACCTACATTTCTGTCTCTTGAAGAAATCTGCCCAACTTTCTTTTTAAAGGAAGGAAAAGCTCTTCCTTTACTCCCTTTCTTCCTTATCTTTCAGAATGATCAGCTGTAGTACAATATTGGTAACCTCTAGCCAGCAAATTATGTAGCTGCCCAATATGACACTTTTTCATCTATAAGAGACTTAAAGAAATAAATGCCTCGCTATCAAGGTTATATTCCCTAAAGTTCAGGCAATTTGTGAAGTAATGGTTCTTCTGAGGCTTTCAGCCTCCTCCTACTCATGAATGATTTACATGGTGGTAGTAATAACATAAACCAATGTTTTAGTAAATCCAATTAAGCTAATTTTTGTAGTTGTATAATTGTAGTTCTAAGCTTCATTTCATGTGAAAAAAGGGATTAAAATGCCATTTTAAGCAAGTGATACCTTTTATAACTATTATTTTCCATTCTCATAGTCTTTTTTGCTTAACTAGCATTTTATGTCTAAATTTCCCTGTGCATTCTCAAATGTGTGTAAAGTGACACCTCATTTGCCCAGTTCCCAGTGTTGTTCAACCCGTGTGTGACTGGATAACAATAATAAACTTCCAAATAAGTTCACTGAAGACATAGTCATGTTTTCCATATTCTGTACACGGGAAATGATCCACGTGTTGCCTTTTGTTGCCTTTGTCACATCAACAAAAGAATCTATTTAAAAGCATCATAGTACAATGGGGGGGAAATGTTAATTTTAGAATCAGTGGACCTGAGATTAAATTTTGGCTTGGCCATTTCTAATTTTGAGGCCTTGGTCTAGTCACAACCTTCCAGATCTTAATTTGGTATCCTGTGATCCTATTTAGAGCAGGAAAAGAAGAGCCCTTCTAAACAAAGAAGTTTCTTTGAGAAGATCTGTATGGATCATGAGGAAAAGAAAAGAGGATTGATGAATAGAAAAAAACATACAGAGCTAAGCTCTTTTTTTTTTGGTGGGGGAGACTCTAGAAAAGGCAAATTTTCCCAAAGATGTCAAAATATACTGTGACCTGATACAAACATGAGAAAGAAATATTTCTCATCTTACTTTTCACTAAAAAAACTTCTTGGTTTAAAAAGGCTATTCTCTTCTTGCCCAATTTAAATAGGATCATAGGATATCAAATGTAGAGCTGGATAAAAGAACATACACAGTTTTATAACTTTTTTCAGCTTAATTCCAAATTACTTTCCAGAATGACTTCACCAGTTCACAGCTCCATCAACAGTGCATCAATGTGCCTGCTTTCCGTCATTCCCTCTAATATTTTTCATTTTTTTAGGCATTGCCAATCTGATAGGTAGAATGGTTTTAATTTTTATGTCTCTAATTCCTTTTGAATTGGAGCAGTTTTTCCATATGTCTACATATAGATTGAGTTTCTTCCCTTAAGAACTGCCTGTTCATATTCCTCTGAACACTTTTCAATTATCTCACATATCTTGGAAATGACACCTTTATGATATAAACTTATTGCAAAGATTTTTTTTTGCATTCAGCTATTTCTCATTTGATCTTAGCTGTATTGACTTTGTTGCTACAAAGACTTTTTAATGTTATGTTATTTAAAATTCCCATTTTAATTTATCTTCCTTATCTGTTATGTGTTCATGAACTCTTCCTTATCTAAAGATCTGAAAACTTAGCTCTTCTTTGCTCCTCTAATATGATATTTTTAGAGGGAATAAGGAAAAATTCGAAAATGATATAACCTTTTATATCTAGCTCATCTATCCATATGGAGCTTATCTTCTTATGTGATGTGGGATGTTGGTATAAACCTACTTTCTGCCAGACGGTTACACAGTTTTCCCAATATATTTTTTCAAATAATGATTCCTTGCATGGTAACTGGAGTCTTTGAGTTCGTCAAACACTAGGCTTCTAGCTTCATTTGTTACTGTATATTGTATACTAAATCTGTTCCAGTGATCAATCTATTTTTTAACAAGTAGCAAACTGTTTTTATAATTACTGTTTTATGAAATAGTATGTGATACAGTACTGCTAGTTCCCTTTCTACTTTTTAGAAATTATTTACTTTGAGATTTCTAGCCTTTTGTTCCTCCAGATGAATTTCATCATTTCTAATTATATAACATCCTTTGGGAATTTGACTGGTTTGGTATTAAGTAAAAACAATTTAGGTACTAGTGATATTTTATTAAATTGGATCAACCTACTCACGAGCAATTGCTATTCATCCAATTATTTAGGTCTGTATTTACTTCCACAAATAGTATTTTGTAGTTATATTTATTTAGTTCTCGTGTGTATCTTATTTGGTTGTCAGAAAGGAGGGAAATACACTATTGCTTTTAATCTTCTTTCAAAGTAATTGTCTGCTTTTGAAAGTAGTAGAACTTTTTTTAAATGTCTTTGTCAAAAGAGGTCATGGAAAAAGTTTTTTTTTTCCTTAAGTATAAGTTTGGTTTGATTTGCGATGAAATAAATGCAGAAAGGAAGCTAGAATATCTAAATAATAATTCTTTGGCTAGTGATGTAATTTGCTGACACATTTTTTTGACCAGCTGTTGCACTGTGGTTATAGACCACGAGTATCCAGGATGCTAGGTCAAGGAAATCCTATATCTGTATCCTTGACCAGCACAAACTTCAGGCACAAGCTGTTAAACTTTTTAACTATTCCCTAAATTTTTAAATTTTGCTTAGTTCATTTGTATAGATAGAGTTATCTTTGGAATTTTGATTCTATCCTTTGTTCTTGAGAAAACACCCCTATAGGATGTAGTCAGAGTGTTTACCTCTCAAAAGCCTGTGCTGCCAGTCACATTACTATACCATTTTTAAAAGTAACGTATTGGAATTAAGAGATTCTGTCTCTGAACTATTGAGACCATACAACATGGTATTTCCATAAAGGAAATCTGGAAGACTGGACCTCAGAGACCTTATGCTCTTTCAGTAGTGAGAATCCGTTCCAACCCTGAACCCTACCCTCACCACAGATGTCGTTCCT